CCTAAGTAATCTGTGTGGAGTAAAATGTAGAGTTAGGAAAGGTAGTAGAAAAGCATTCACTGGTAGTGAACACATATTGATACAGATACTGAGCTTAGGCAATTATAACTATTAACCCGTTTCTTCTAACATCTCAGGCTAAGTACCACCTGGACTTTAATTTCATGTATTTTAATGTTTTGCCTTCACGGCGGTTGGCTGATATGCTAGTTTGTCTCCTTATGCAAAGTTTCATATATGTAACAACAGGAGATGGGAGCAGAGGAGCACATTTGACGCACACTCGGCTGTTTGGCAATCTATTTGCTAGAATTCATCAGTCACTTCATTGTTCTTCTGCTGTCCTGGCAGATCTGCCCAGTCCTATTATACATGTCTGGTTTCAGGTAAAAACCCAGCAATATCACTCACTATAGTGAAATTTCTATCAGTAGCAATAACAGTTAGAGTTAAAAGGCACATTGTTGGTGAACTTAGAAGGTTCCTGGGGAGCAACAGCATTATTAACATTCCTGTGTTCTGTGAATTGTAATTCTTGTGAATAAATCCAATTGTTTCCATTTGAACTTGGCTGCTGAGAAACTATGATTTGCTTTGGAGTTTTAACCTGGTGATTCAAATAACCATTTCTACATTTTAGAAGCAATTCATTTTACAACAGGCATTACTACGTGAAGTAAGAGCATCTGATATGAAACCTTCTGTGCAGTTACACAAAAAGCCTACATTTTAGACTGAGTTGCAACAAATTAAGAAATCTCTATAAGCATTATCTGTTGCCTGCCAAGTCACGTGATGTCCACGGAGATTTCTTAACTTGCACCAATGCACACCTAGATATTAGGCTTTTTGCATAACTGTTCAACAGGTTTTCAACCTATAATAAGATTTTTTAAAACTAAATCTAATAATGATAATGAAGGTAATGTGACAAACTGGCTATCCCTTTATTTTTATTTTGTTACTGCCTGGCATTTCAGAACTGATCATCCTTGCATTAAGGATAGCAGAATTTAGTTGCATTTTCCAAGATAAACATATACCATATTTTTCCGTTTATAAGATGACCCCCAATGTATAAGACGAACGCCCCTTTTCTAACCCCAAGTTAGAAAATTTGATCCCTGCTTTTCCCTTCCTTTTGCTAAGCCACGGAGTTTAGCAAAAGGAAGGGGAAAGCAGGGATCAAAGGGCTTCCTTTGATCACCGCTTTTCCTTGCCTTTTGCGAAGCCACGGGGTTTAGCAAAAAGGAAGGGAAGGCTCCCTTCAGGTAAAGGCTGCACGATCACAGCCCTTTGATCCTGAAGCCTTTTCATGGCTGCTTTATCCACTTCCTAACTCCTGCAGGGTTTAGGAAGTGGGTAATGCAGCTGTGAAAGGACTGCACGATCGTAGCCCTTTGATCCTGAAGCCCTTTCATGGCTGCTTCAAGATCAAAGGGTTGCGATAGTGCCTGGGAAGTGGGTAATGCAGCTGTGAAAGGGCTGCAAAATCGCAGCCCTTTGATCCTGAAGCAGCCATGAAAGGGCTTCAGGATCAAAGGGCTGTGATCGTGCAGCCCTTTCATGGCTGCTTTACCCGAAGGGAGCCTTCCCGTCCTTTTTGCTAAGCCCCCTGGCTTCGCAAAAGGCAGGGAAAGCGGCTGCTTTCCATGTATACAAAGACCCTCAATTTTTTTGTCTAATTAAGGAAAAAGTATTGTTTTATACACGGAAAAATATGGTATTTTCAACACAGCTTTGAAAACTTTATTTTTGGACAAGTTCCAGAATCCCTGCAGTTAAAAACTGGATTCTTTTATAGCAAGTACTGCAACAATATTAAAAATAATAATAATTTTAAGCTATGCTTTGCAGTATGTAGGAATCTTCTTCACACATTGAGTTTGTTTCTTTTTAGTCCAGAGAAGGAAGTAACACAATGTCAAAACCCGATTGGTATCTTTTTAAAAATTCCAAGCTACAATATCTGGCAGCATAGACAGTGATGAAGTCCAAAATAGAAGAAAGGACTTTTTTTTAAAAAAAGTGAGCTGTTACTAACTCAAGTTTTAATGAAATTTGGACCTAAGACCAATATCAGTTTTGAACTCAAGCTTTTCTGAGGTCACTGACATATCTCTTACACATGGGGATCAATGCACAGAATATTATGATATTACATTTACCAACATAATTGGACCAAATCTTTTCAACATTTCACCCAATCAACCTGACTCAGAGCTTCACATACATATGCATAGGTTACAATAAATGATTCAATTCATTTCAAGGAAGGGAGAAGAGATCAAGACCCATTAAAGAACAAACACATTGGTGGAGTCAATTCATTCAAATGCACGAAGATGTTTCTGGAAAGCAAAGCTCCAGCATAGAACATCATTCTTCATAGACCCCTCAAGTGGTTCAGAATGTGCCTACCATGTTATTATAAAGAACATACAGTTTCCATTTTGAAACAACATTGGCCTCTGGGCCCCATCTGAAATAGCAGTTACTGGGCTAAATCTAATTGACCCACAGTATAAATTGTATTTGTTAAATGAACACATATATACTGTTGATTCAATAGATCTACTTGGGAGTAACAACTCTACTTTGCCTTTTATTTTTAATGTCATAAATAGTCTTGACTAGAATATGTTAAAGATTCCCCTCTCCCATCTGCATATGCTAAAGAACTGGTTCATCTACTCCACCGGGCAGTGCCTTTTTGGACCTGGGGAATGCCCGTCCAGCAGAAGTTCATACAACTATCTCATGATCAATATCCAGGCAACCATTTAAAACTATATTGGTACAGGGAGCCTTTAAACTAATTGAGCAATTGGCTGTTCTATATTTTTGGAGGAAGGAGGGAATGTTGTCTATGTTATTATAGTATTTGTAACTTTGTTATATGTTAATTATTGCTTCCAGTTTATATATTGTTTTGTCTTTCCTTGTTATATGGATTCTTGTGGGTAGAACGGTGGGATAAATATTTCTGAGACAAACATAGTGAAGAGGTGAAGCTTTGAAATGCTGAGACTTGCATTCTGGTCTTCATTTCAAACAAAGCCTCATCTCCTTGCTAGAGAGCTTAAAATATCAGAGCAGGGAGCATTAGACTTCATAAATGAGAGCAAAGTACTTAAAAGTGATCAAACATAAAAACTGTTTAAAGTAAACGTGAGCGTTTTTCAAATGTAATCGAGATACTCAGCTAATTTAAAATCCTACTGAAGTGTGAAGGGGCATTTTAAATATTTCATCACAGAGTAGGCTACACGGCTTCTTAAGATGTTTCAGTGGCATCGCCGAATGTATGTGAAAATGTCTTACATGCAAAAGTTAAGGTAAGAGATGTCTCGCTTGTCCACCCAGTTAATTGGTAAGAAAAGGTGAATTCCTGTAAGAGCAGATTTTCTTTCCCCAATTGTTAACATCTGGGAAAAGAAAGCCTCAGTTTTATAAATTAGAGGTGTTTTTTTTTTAACAGACCTTATGCCTGGCGAGTACAGATTCTTTCTATTAAAAGGTCTATGGCTGGTATCCTAGTCAAATTACTGTGTATAATAGTAATTAGCTATGCGCTTGTCAGTTCTGAGTTATGGTGACCCTTCTGAGGGCATAAAGAACTCAGGAATGATCCACTTTTCCCTTCTTCTGGGGGAACCCTTGGACTGTGCAGCCTGTCCAAGGCTCTAGAGGTTGGGTCATCTCCTGGGGCACATGATGGGGAATTAAACTCTCAAACACTAGCTCCACAGCCACTGAATTTTGCTGGCTGAGCAAAAAACTGAACCCAGGTTTCCTAACACTCTATCCACTACACTGGCTCAGATATACATATACAGTACTTCCAATAGGGAACAGTTTCCAGGAATTTTATATATTTTATAGATGTGTATATGTATATGTATATTTTAGTGATATAAGCCGCTTTGGGTCTTTTGGGGTGAAAGACAGCATATAAATAAATGATAGATAGATAGATAGATAGATAGATAGATAGATAGATAGATAGATAGATAGATAGATAGATAGATAGATAAATAAATAAATAAATAAATAAATAAATAAATGCTGTCTTTCACCCCAAAAGACCCAAGGCGGCTTGTATCACTGATCTCTCTCTCTCTATCTTTGTGTGCTAGGTTTCCATTTGCAATCAGTGTTTTAAAAAATAAAATGTGTAGTAACACTAAACATATGGTTCTACTCGTATAGTCTGAAGTGATACATCTCATTTTTCTACCCATGTAGTCTTCCAATCTATTCCTACCTCATTCTGTTAGGTACATAATAATTATGTGTCATCAAGTCAATTCTTTCCTTCCCAAGGTTTCCCAGGTGTAGAGTACACAGAAGTGGTTTTCCAGTCACTCTGGTGGTGCTCTACGGGGAGCTGTGCAGCTTTCCCAAGGCTACATAGACTGGCTCTACTTGCAAGAGGCACAATGTGGAATCAAACTGTCACACCTACTCACTGAGCTGGCAAGTTCATAGACACAAGCAAAGTACAGCTGAGCTAAGATATGAATCCTACACTATATAGGATTGATAAAAGGCACTTTTAAGGGTTCTTGAAAGGAAGGCAATAGAGGCTATTTTCTCTGTTCTTGCACATGGATAGGCCACTAATAAGGAGTACACATATGAGAAAATACAACCCTGAACACATCCAATCATGTCTGATTTCGGAAGCAAAGCTTGGTTAATATTCATATGGGAGATCACCAGAGAATACCAAGGATCTCCAGATTGGGCTAGGGAAGAATCATGCTTTAGAGGTGACAACAGTGGACTAGATGGACTAAGTAGCTTCTTAAACAGCAGCTTCCTAAGTCACATGAAGTGCAGTCATAAGGAAGGAGAATCTCACATGAACATTTGGCCTCCAGACCTTCCAGAGTTTTACAAAAGACTGGATGACCCAAGTCCCCCAATCCCATCCCAGGGGGTGGGAAATAAGACACCAAGACACCACTGTCTTCTGAATGACCAAGAGTACTTACCTAAACTGAACAGCACCAAGAATTTGAGACACACAAACTCTCGTAGATCAAACTGCAGAGATCGGAGTTTCGCTACCAGCTCCTGCGCGTGGCTCATGAGATTGTTGAGGGTGGCTCCGGCTTGAGATGCTATTACTGAGTAATCCACCTGTAAAACAATACCAGATTTCCATTGGGTCACCCTAACCAGGAACATTACCTTTGGTTTAATAGACTAATTTAGCACTTTTAGGGCTGAGACCTGGTTTGGAAGGAAGCCCATTTTTATAGAGGCTACAGCCTCAGGGGTGGGGATAGGTGGAATTTCATTTCTGCCCATACCCAACAGTTTCAACCCCAATCAATTCCTGCCAACGCTCTGTTTTAGAAAGAAAAAAAAATGTTGCAATGAAGCAAGGCTTTCCAAGGTTGAAGACCCAGGAATTTTTGATTAACAAGGACATTGTCTGCTGCCAACCCCACACCCTCTAAGTTTAGAGACAACTCTCACAGTGGTAGCTGCATTTCTCCCAATGGCAATATATTGCTGTGAGCCATCCTTGTTGTAATGAAAGAATGTGGACAGGCTTGTTCCTGAGTAGACAATTAAAACACACTAACTTTACGAAAGACCTGTCCTGGGTGGATACAAAAATGGGTAGAGCTGGCTTACAGAAATGGATCCACAAACGTGCCTGAATTTTTGGATTTTCCAAAGAAGATGTCTATGGAGACTGTAACAATAAACATTTGCACTTCAAAATTTATCATTGCCACTGATTAAATGCAATCATTCTCACTTAGCTGACAAGGCTGCTGTGACATCAAAATAGTTATGCTAGTGTATGTCATCAACCCACAACACACAGTGGGGAGATAAATGTGACTTTTCCCCCATATGCATACATATACAAAAACAACATCCTTCCTGAACATCTCCAGATGCCAAATAGCTATACTTTTTAATATGCTGTTTTTATTCTGCCAGTTTACTGTGCCATCCTGTCTTGTCGGCTTGTTATGCCACTGTGAAGCATTCTCAATATCCTCTGCTATTTCCACTGGGCAGGCATGATTGCCATTGCTTATGGATCCAAAATGGCTCCACTTCCACCCAAGACGCGGGCTCAGTTGAATTCAGGAGTTTGTAGAAACATGAACACATTGTTGGGTAACACCCTCCCCCCAAGAATGGCATCCCAGCCCAGAAGAGGGGACAGATGTATCTTCAATGGCCATGGAAGGTTTACTAAGTGTCTGGGGTGTGAAACAGAGAGGAGTATCGTGGAAGAGGGCAGAACTGGAACAATTGACAGAAGCATAACATACTGCAACATTTTGTGGTAGGTCTTACTTGTTTAAATAACAAGATGCAGCATAAATGTTTAAATAAGCAAGCATGCAAACAAACCCCTTCCAAAATTTACAAATGTTTCTAGGCTTGATCTAGTATGTCTTGTAATGGGGCATGCAGCTGTTCAGAAGTTGCAGGAGTCCAACTCTCATCAACCACAATGGCAGGGAATGGTGGGAGTTGTAGTCCAGTAACATCTGGAAGAATGAAGGTTCCCCTTCACTTAAACTGTATCACTGAATTTAGAGCTAACAATCTAATCCCCCCAATAGTTATAATCCTATAATTATTTGTATCATTAAACATAATAATGATATCTTTTCCAGTAGCTGTCTTTCAGGCTACATCTTGACACGAAAAATACACCATGTCTTAAGCAGTCAAGGCTGAGCTCTAAATATATGTACTCCTGAACACAGAGAGGCAGGGTGATGTACTGGACAGAGTGTCAGATGAGGACTGGGTTCAAATCTGCATGCAGCCATGAAAACATGCTTCTGGGTGGCAGTGGTATAGTACCACTCCTTGAATATTTAAAAGGTTCCCTTGACAATTTTTGTCCAGTCGTGTTCGACTCTAGGGGGCGGTGCTCATCCCTGTTTCCAAGCCATAGAGCCAGCGTTTGTCCGAAGACAATCTTCCGTGGTCACATGGCCAGTGCAACTTAGACACGGAACGCTGTTACCTTCCCACCGAAGTGGTCCCTATTTATCTACTTGCATTTGCATGCTTTCGAACCGCTAGGTTGGCGGGAGCTGGGACGAGCGACGGGAGCTCACTCCGGTGCGTGGATTCGATCTTACGACTGCTTGGTCTTCTGACCCTGCAGCACAGGCTTCTGCGGTTTAGCCCACAGCGTCACCACGTCCCTTTTCCCTTGAATATTTAACATACCTCAAAAACATTACTAGGGCTGCCATAAATTGAAATTGACTTGACAGCCCATAACAACTTCTTGAGTGGTCAAGGCTGCATCTAAATATATTTATTACTGGACGCAGTGATAGTTATTTCTGAGTTAAACATCTGCTGGACTGTATCGCATAGCACTCTCTATAGTGTATAATGTTTAGCTGTCTCACAACACATATGTAAGCTGCAAAGTTTTTATTATCCTTCTATTGCAGATGGGGGGAACCTGGATTGGTTACAAAAGCATAATTATAATAGATCCCGTCCCGGCTGAATTAAAGTCTCACTGAAATCAACAGGGCAGATTTGTCATGGTCTAAGAGCCATTGTTTTACAATTAATTAATTAAGAAAGAAATCCTATGCATGTTTACTCAGAATTTAGATGTACATTGGCTTGTACTCAGAAGAATGTGTACAGAATTGCAGCTTTAGTCTGGTTCCAATGTGCTGTGGCCAAGATTTTCTACAGTAGAGATACGCAACTCATGGTCCTCCAGATGTTGTTGTACTTCAACCCTAGCTAGAGGTGAAGGTTCCTGGGAGCTACAGTATAGTGATACCTGGCCTTGCCCACCTCTGACCTGGTAAAATCGGAATGAGACACTTCTTGGTACATAGCCCCTTACTGTGATTTCAGACATTACATAGGAACAACCCCAGGTTTGCCTGGGGCACTCACTGACCACCTTTGTCCCTGAATGGAAGACACAGACATTGGGGGTGATGCTCCAGTCTGATGGGAAATGTAATAAATAAATAAGGAATAAAGTCACAGTACTCGCTTTTGAATATACATTTTTAAAATGACTATGCATCCAAGCGAAATGTGTGACCCCCTGGATGTAATTTTGAGGTATTCTACACATTTCTAGAACTCCATTTCAGGCTGCAAGGGACAAATTGTCAAAGTATATGGATTCATTTTCAGTAACTATAGTTGATAAGTTTGCCATCTCTCCAGGAAGACATTCAATGCTAGTAAGTATGGAGCCTCAACCATGTTCATGGCAGCACCAAAACCTAATGCTTATCCCTTTCCAAACTGAGAAGGCCTTCTGTTTGGCAGCCATTTCCTGAATCTGGAACTGCCTATTGAGAGAGACCAGGGCAGTTCTCTTGCTGTTTTCCTTACATTGGGAAGCAAAGGACATCTTTTTTTGTTTATACAGACATTTGGAAAGAAAAACTCTTGGTAGATAAAGATGGTTTGTTTGATTGCAGGTTCTATTCTCATGCTATGTGTTATGTTGTAAGGCAACAAGTGTCCCATAAACAGCAGCAAGAGGGAGTCAACAGCCAGTCTAGGTCAAACACTGTATGTATAGTCAAGGCTGAGCTACAAGGAGCATGAGCCAGAGATGAGAGCCAGTAGTCAAGCCATATATTATGGACATACTAGTCTCAAAGGGTCAAGAGGGAGTGAACAGGAGTCCAGAATAGACCAAACCAACAGGCAAGAGTTCAGGACACAATGTAAGGAGAGCTACAGCAGAGCATGATTACAAACGTTGCTGACAGCAGCCTGATTTTCACTGGCCTGGTGGCATCTATTCACCATGGCCTAGGATCCTTCCTTCCTTCAACAGTCTCTATTTAGTTATTTATTGCAGATCAATCCTCTTGAGAACACCCTTGCTGCTTTCACTGTTTCCTCTGTTCTAACACACAGAGCTCCTCGTGCCCTCTAGTTTTGGAGATTGTACATTCATCAAGCTGTCATAGTTTACTGGAAGGGCTCTAGTGCTTCTGGGAGATGGCTGCTAGCAGGAGGCCTCAAGATCTCCCCTGGCTTTGGATTCACCTTGCTGAGACAGTTTATCCTCAGCTTCATCCTCTGAAGAGGACATGGCCAAGTAAGGTATGACATTGTGGTTTCATTTCTGTTTTAAACTGATTGGTACTTACGTTGTCTTTTGGTAATTATGTCTTATTCTTAATTTTAATATTTTAGCTCTCTTTATTGAACAGAAAGGCAGGTTATAAATCATTCATTCATTTGTTCAATTAATTAATTAGAACTAAGCTGAATCCAGTGTAATAACTCTCCTGAGCTGGTAACTATGAAAAGGAAGTATGGTCCCAGTTTTACAAATTAGAAAACGTAAGAAATTGAGTTTTGGGCTGACAGTGGCAAACCCAGCTTTAAGAATGATGCCTACATACTTGGGACACCTCCTCTGCCCTCTGGTTGTCTTCACTAACTATTGTAATGTCAAAGTGCACTTTACAGGTAACACATTGCTAGAAGAATGAATTCTTCCCCTGCTAAAAGACCTCAGATGGGGGCAGAAGGAACTGTTTGCAATGCCTGTAGTTTGCAAAGTAGCTCACTCTGCTGCTTGCTCAGTCATCAGAAAGAAAACACATATTGTTGCTCATACATGAAGGTGTGCCCGAATGGCATCTCTGGGACACTAATGTGATTTCAGTTTCTCATAATATGGTATCTGTAACATACTGTAGTTTGAGTCTTGTAGTCTGACTGGTGTGTGCGCGCTGCCCTACCTACCATTTTAGGGTGTAGCACCCCCTCCCTGCTCAGACCATGTGCTGGTCCTGTTCCAATATATATAAAGCACATAAAATTCTATCTGTATCACAAGTAGACTATGAAAATTACCACTGTACAATCCCACACCAAGATAAGAACTCTTAACTAGGTTATTGTTATGAAACAGTTTGACTGATGCAAAGACATCTCATTCACAGATGAATTCCGCCCCACCCCCCTGCGATTTGTTGAAAAAGTTGTTGGTGGGGTGAATCCCTCAGAGAGGTAGCCAATTGTAGTTTCAGAGTGAGAGAAAAAGATGATCTTTGCTTCATAATAATAAGTTAAGATGTTTAGATGAATCTCATGAATATCAGTTTGCTTGCATGACTGCAATGATAATATAATGG